AAAGTCTTGGAGAGTTTCAGCTTCCTCTCTCAGAAAAAACAAGGAAATGGGGAAGTTAACAATTACCTTCCCTGGTAGCTCAGCCGATAAAGAATCTGCCTGCAATGCAGGAGACCCTGGTTCGTTTTCTGGGTCAGGAAGATCCCTGGAGAAGGGACAGGTTACCCTCTCCAGTATTCTTGAGTTTCCCTGGTGGCTCAGATGGTAAAGGATCCGTCTGAAACACAGGAGATGCAGGTTTGATCCGTGGGTCAGGAAGATCCCCTGGAGGCGGGCATGGAAACCCACTCCAGTATTCTTGCCTGGAGAATCCCATGGACAGAGGAGCCTGGAGGGCTACAGTCCGTGGGGTCAGAGAGAGTTGGACACAACTGAGCAACTAACACAGTCACTTTCACTTTCAGCCTAAAGAGCGACTTCCCAGGCGGCACTAGAGGTAACGAACTCGCCTGTCGAAGCAGCAGACATAAGGGACGTGGGTTTGACCCCTGGGTTGGGAGGACCCCCTGGAGGAGGGCATGGCAATCCACTCCAGTGTTCCTGCCTGGAGAATCCCATGGACTGGCGTGCTAAGGTCCCTGGGGTCGCAAAGAGTCGGACACGACTGAAGCGACTTGGCACGTAGCCTAAGGAGAGTGCTCATGAGAAAGGAAAAAGGCAGAAAGAAAGTTCGCTGGCAGCTGAACGGGGTGACTGAGGCGAAGAAACCCAGGTTCTAGATAAACACGGAGCCCATGGATCCATCTGAACTGTGATGCATGTTACAGACCTTTGTCTTCCAAAAATGCATACCTTTTTTTAAAATTGGAGCAGAGCTGCTTTACAATGTGTGTTAGTGTCCGCTGGACAGCGGGACTCAGCCACGTGTGCACGTACATTCCCTCCCTCGGAGCACCTCCTCCCCACCCTGCCCCATCCCTCTCGGGCATCCCAGAGCACCGAGTGGCTACAGGCCGCTTCCCCCCAGCGGCCCATTTAACACCCGGCAACGTACACACATCAGTGCCGCTCTCCCAGCTCATCCCGCCCTCTCCTCCCCCGCTGTGTCCACAAGTCTGCTCTCTACGTCCGTGTCTCTATTCATCAGTGCCATTTTCCTAGATTCCTCAAAAAACATGGATCTTTCTGCGTAAAGCTCCAAGAGGTTCACAGGCTCTGTGGTGCCCACTCCTGGGCTCCAGATGTACAGAACCCCTGGCCTAATTTCCAGAATTTACTCAACCACAGAACTGCCTGCAGAGATGTATTAACACATGGGAGAATCTCTCTGCTGCTTTAACAGCAAAAGACGGTAAACACCCTCAGAGGCCATCAAGAGGGGGACTAATTAGGTAAGATCACAGCCAAAAATAAGAATGGGATGCATCAATGAATGTTCCCGAAGCAGAAACCGAAATGTATCATGAAGTGAAAAGCACAAGGCGCAGAATAAGGGGGGCCAAGTAAGATGGGGTAAACAGAACATCAAGATTTCCGAAAGGAAACACTAGAGACTAGAAACAGCTTCTGTGTCTGAGATGGGAACCTGGGCCATAAAGACTCTGAAGGTGGAAGAAAAACTACTTTCAGTTGTAACCCGTGTCATTATTTTCCTAATTAAAAGAAAGTTAGCCGGAGATAGGTACATAGTTGGGGTGGGGGGGAGGGTGGGAGAGACAGAGACTGATTTATAAGAACTTCTGGTCTAGCTGTGACCCAGACTATCCCCAGCCCTGAGAACAGTTGATACTGTAAAACATTTGGCACCTAGACGTACATAGGAAAGCATTGTAAACCCATAAATGCTTTCCCCGGCGAGGCCGCTGCTGAGACTCGGGGCAGCTTTTCCTCTTGTTGAACCAATTACAGGACATTACAATAGCAGTGCCAATATTATCTTTTAGAGGCTGATGTTATTCACTAAACACCCATTAAACCAACCTCCGGGCTCCATTTACAGCAAGCTTAAAGGCAGATCCAGATGGTACAAATAAGGCATGATCTGCAGGCGGCCAGTCATCAAATAGCCATTATCAAGTTTCCAGTCCTTGGCCGCCTGACACGCACAGGTGTGCCCAGGCGAGAAGAGGAACAACCTTTCCGGAGGTGGCTGGGTTCCCTCGGGCTCTGCAAACCTACACTCCCCCCAAACCCCCGCGGGCTGCGTTAGCCCTCGGATCCGAAAGGCTAGCAACAGTGACCGAGGGTTGCCTGGTAACCTGGAAACGGGCTCTGCCTAGGTGCTTCTGAGCAGAGGACAGGATGGCATTGCCTCCCACGCAGCCTCTGCTCGCTACCCCGCCCTGGGGTGGCCAAGAAGGTCCAGCAAGCCTGGGAGACTTTCCAGCAAAGTCAACTCCTGAGGCAAGAGGACCCTGAAAGGAAGGGCTAGTCGCTCAGTCGTGTCTTTGCGGCCCGATGGGCTGTATGTAGCCCACCAGATTCCTCTGTCCAACGGATGACCCCGGCGAGAATACTGGAGTGGGTTGCCATTTCCTCCTCTAAGAGATCTTCCCAGCCCAGGGATCGAACCTGGGTCTCCCACACTGCAGGTGGATTCTTTACCCGCTGAGCCACCGGGGAAGCCACGAGGGAGGACGCTGAGATAAACCGAACACAGACTCAGAACTGGGCGGAGCAGGATGCCTGGCCAGAGAGAACCCGGAAGACCTGGGCGGGGCAGGATGCCTGGCCAGAGAGAACCCGGAAGAGACGCCCCGCGGAAGAGATTTAAACTACCACGAGGGCATGCGTCTCTCTGAGTCTGCCCGCGCCTCCGTCCACACGTACGGCACTCTCTTCCTCCGAACAATTGTTTCACTAATTTCCGTCTTTGTGGGGTTCTTTTCTGCAAAGCTGAAGGGCCCAGGCCTCGTCACTGATCACTGGTCCAGTGGCCAGGATTTGGGGCTCTCACCGCCGGGGCCTGACCCTGGTGTCTGACCGGGAACTGAAACCCTGCTTCCAAGCCACTGCAGGCGGAGGCCATCCAAGATCAGTGCCACTGGCCCTGTATTCTCGTGGTCCCACTGGAAAAGGTTCATGTCAAAGGGATCTCTTTTTACCTTTTTTCTTTCTTTTTTTTGCTTCAATTAAGTCATAGTTTATTTGCTAATGATTTACAAGTTGGCAATGACCTTGAAGATGGTATTGCCAACACTTCTTTTTTTAACTAATTTATTTTAATTGGAGGATAACTGCTTTGCAATATGGTGTTGGTTTCTGCTACACACCAACATGAATCAGCCAGAGGTATATGCCCTTTTTTACTTTTTTGATTGACAGGCATTGAACCTTTCCCCTGTGGCCTTGAAGATTGAAAAAATGGGAGACAATAAGATCTGGGGAAACCGTGACTGACTTTATTTTTCTGGGCTCCAGAATCACTGCAGATGGTGATTGCAGCCATGAAATTAAAAGATGCTTACTCCTTGGAAGTAAAGTTATGACCAACAGTCGCAAAGAGTCAGGCATGACTGAACGACTGAACTGAACTGAACTGAGGATCTGGCAAACTCCTTCACCCTAGAGACGGCTCAGAGTCAGGACCATAAAGTCTTCATTGGGAATCACAGGAGATCCAACATGCAAGAACTGGGGAGAACTGGCAGAAAGCCTTCTGTCCCCGAGTCCCCACAACTCGGCATGAAAAGTGACCGTCTTAACTGGAGGACGGTGCCCCACCCTTGTCACCAGACAGCTCTCGACTCTCCAGGAAAAGGAAGAAGGCAGACCACACGCAAGTGGAACTGACTTGAGAACGCGTGCGACTGGATGCGGCAGGCAGAGTTTTCGAGCTAACCCTCTGTTACTTGAGCTCCCGTTGGATGAATTTTCACTTCCCGATTAAATCCCACATCGGAAGAGGTGGGGGGCCATGAGCTTCAACCCGAGTGGAGGAGGTGTTCGAGTTCCCCATGAATAATTCTTGCAGGACATAATCTGAGCACAGATAACTGAGAACTGTTTGAGGCATGGCTGTAACTCGTGTAGGTTACAGGATCTCCACTCCCGAGGTCTACGGATCACTTCAGAGACACCGCGTGCACTTATCAAATTAAAACGCCAGCCTGGAAACGTGAGAGGACTCGCTCCCTTAAATCACAAAGGTGAAGACGGTAGCCAGTCACCAGTCTCTCTCCTCGATTCACCCAAGAGAGAAGAACTCCAAGCAAAAGACAGGACGGCCGCTTTCAGCCTCCTTTGCCTGGTTTATTTAGTTTCTGAGTCTGAGATTTACAGAAGTGGAGGAAAAGGAAGGGACAACGTTTCACAGCGACACGGGACTTAAGTAAAGGCAAAGGAAAAGAAAGGACGCCACCTCTCCTGGTGCCAACTGGTACTGAGAGTAGCCAACTCAAAGTGAGCCACGACTGGGCAAAGAAGGGGACGTCTACACTGAGGCCGGAGACCAGCATCACCTTTCAATTCCTCAAGGGGCACCGACCCAGTCTGCACTGCCCCCATGGAGATTCAGAATTGCGCCCCCCCACCTCCCGCCCTGATTCCTCTCGAGAGGGCGCACTCAGTCTAGCTTAAGAGAAAATGCATGCCTTTGCCATCAGTGTTCTTCAGTTTCCAGGCTCCAGGCTGAATCAGTGAAAACAAGACCCAAAATTCCCCAGATGAACCAGAAAGATGAAAGTCACGTCAATGGAAAGGAACGTCCAGGGGCCATCAGAGAGGGGGAGACAGAGGGACAGAGGTCTGTCCGCTGCAACCTGAATCAGCCCAGTCCCACCAGAGCAGCCCACGGGCCCACTTGTCCAACTCTGGGAAACAGCCAAAGGTTCTATTACATACTGTGCTCTAAGCAGTGGTTTGGAGAACCAATGTGGAGGGGAGGCGCGTGGCCAGATGCCAGCTCAGCCCCGGGTGACAGCGAGGTGGGCGCCTGGCAAAGACGGGACGGAACAGCTGGCACATCCCGGCCACCCCTCCCGCCCCGGTTCCGGTCTCTCCTGTCTGACTCCGCCCGCGGTCTGCAGCAGGGAGCTTGCCTGAAAGAAGCCCAGCTCTACCTATCCGAATGGAAAGTTCGCTCTCGGGGAAGAGCATCCTGGCACCCTCCGTGTCGGACTTCTTCGTCAGCGCAGGGTCCAAGTTCAGTGCCAGGGCCGTCTGCGGGTCTTCCGCTGCACCCTGAAACGAGAAGCGGGGCATCACTATAGCACCTCCTCTGCCTTCATCCTCCAGTCCCTCCAGCTCCCGGGGACCCAGGCAACCTGCTCGTATCCACCGAGAGCACGGGCTGCCTGGGCCAGACCCAGCTGTCAGGCCGGGAGGAGTCATGAGCAAGGTCACAAGCTCTCTAGCTGCAGAACTTTGGGGATGACAACAATTGGGATCGGAGGCGACCGTGCTGATCCCAGAAATAGGAAAAACACACACTGGGCAAGAGCAGGTCAAACACCAAAACCCCCCTCTCCTCTCACCGCAGGGCAGAGGGCAGAAGGGACTCAGTTCCTGAACCGTCAAAAGAAGCCTGGATGGCAGGTCCACCCATTGGCGGCCTCAGTACAGGAACCAAGGTCAGCAATTTTCAGGATTCAGCGTCTTCCGGTTTCTCATCAGATCAAACAAGGATGAGAGGCAAACAGAAGTATCTCGAAAGGAGGAAAGTGAGAGTCCTAGAGGACATGGCACATCTGAGGTTATGCGCAGCTGGCCTTAAATCACGTCACCCTTCTTCTGCTCTGTCCATCACCAGTTATTTTGACTCTTCTTTGCATTAGCTGTGCAAAGTCTTGATTTTGATCCCCATTGTTTACTGAACAAATATTTATTGACTGTCAACTTTCTGGATACTTGGTAAACGACCAAATTCTAGCTCTTCTTGAGCTTACAGTTCAGTGAGGAGCAAACAAGTGAATCTACAATGGGGCTGTGAGTCTGTCTTCCAAAGACATCGAAGGGACCCCTAAAACCCTAAGGGAAGGTGAACAGAATCATCTCAATGGCACGGAAACAGCAGATATTTTCTGAAGACCAGGCAAAATAGTTCCAAACAAACGGAAGTTTCCATTTAAAACGTGTGTCCCTCAAAATGACACGTACTGTATAATCCCACTTACATGAAATGCCAAGAATAGGCAATTCAGAGACAGAAACTAGGGCTTACCAGCATTTCCCTGGGGGCTCAGAGGGTAAAGAATCTGCCTGCAGTGCAGTTAGTCCTGGGTTCGATCCCTGGGTCGGGAAGATCCCCTGGAGAAGGGAATGGCAACCCACTCCAGTATTCTTGCCTGGAGAATCCCATGGACAGGGGAGCCTGGTGGGCTACAGTCCAAGGGGTTGCAAAGAGCTGGACATGACTGAGCGACTAACACTTTCACTTTTTCACTTTCAGGGGCTGGGAAGGAGGAACGGGGAGCTACTGCTAAATGGTTACAGGGTTCCTGTTTGGGGTGATGAAGTTCTGAAGATGGATGGTGGTGATGACTGCACAGCACTGTGAATGCAATTAATGCCGCTGAGTCATACATTTTAAATGGGTAAAAAGGCAGATTTAATGTTATGTATATATTATACCATAATTTTAAAATAACGATGCAATATACTAAACATAATGGTACACTTTGGGTGAACATCAATAAAGCTGTTAAAAAGAAAAAATAATAAAAATAGCCAACTTAGTGGATTAAATAAATAAATAAATAAAATGTGTGATCTCATAGGGGAGAGGAGAAGGCTTAACCATCCAATCAAGGAATGCATCTATTTATAAGCAAATACTAAACCTGTTTTCTTGGGTAAGTTTCAGAGGGGAGTCTCACAAAAGCAATGCCTAGCTGTATCTTACATAAATACACACATACACACCTTCTTGCTCGTCAGGGATCAGAAAGAGAAATGATTCGGGTATTTAACTTCATTATTTCTGTCCAACTAAAGGTAAAAAGTGAAACATAAAGCCTTCCTCTCACATCCTCTGACTTCTCCAATATATTTCTATTGTCCTAATCATTTATTTCCAATGCCCCTCATAAGACACTTTTTAAAACTGAAGCAGAGTTGATTTACAATGTTAATTTCTCTTGTACAGCAAAGCGACTCAGTTAAACACATATACACACTTTTTCATATTCTTTCCTATTATGGTTTATCACAGGATATGGAATAGAGTTCCCTGATGGTGCACTTTAATAAAGATGCTAACACCTTCTTTAAACTTGTTTTAACATGGAAGGAAAAAAAGCCTCGTGGTGCTGAGCGAGCCGCCCTCGTTGAAGTTCTTAGGGTCCCCCGGAGAATCCTAGGGGCAGCGGGCTCCCATCTGCGATGTCGCCGGGAGGGGCATCAAGAGAGCATCCCGCTGAGGGGTCAAGGCTCAGGACGCGGCAGATGGACGACCCCTGGGGACAGAGAGGCCTTGGAGCGGCTGGCCCCGCCCCGCCCCACCCCCAGCGACAGCTGGCGTCCGTGCCACGTGCCGAGGGCCACGCAGTCGCAGCTCTTTGTTCATAAGCTTCAATTATTTCTCATCCTACGTCTCCCGCTGACATCTGAGGCACCACCACGGCCCTAAGACGAGTTTCCCCTGGAAAGCGTGTGCCTCAGCTGGTGTTTCTCCCTTTGTCTCGCTTCTTTTTACAATGTGATTGAGGCAGAAGTGGGGGAAGGATGTGGAAAGGGAACCACTTCATTCCAGCAGAGATGCGGCCACCTTCATCCACTGGGGGCTGCTGCTTTGACGGGGGTGGGCGGCGATCGGTCAGGTGCAGCCAGGAGAGACCCTGGTTTTAACTGAGAACAGTGGCTTTCAGCTGGGGTGACTGCTCCCCAGGGGACATTTGGCAGCGGGCGCTTTGTGTGTGGGGTGGGGGAGAGGGGGGTGCGGGCATCTACTGGGGAGAAGACAGGGATGCCGCTGAACACCCAACAACATAAGGCGGCCCCCACCACAGAGTGATCCGGGCAAAGGCCAGCAGTGTTGAAGCCGAGACATTCCCCTGTAGAAGTTTGAGAATGCTCACGACCTCACTTTATTGCTGGTCGTGCCGAGAACGCACAGGCCCTCTTTACTGTCAAGATAAGAATTTTGCTGCTTCCTCCAGGAAGCCTGCCTGCCTTCAGGTATTTGGCAAATTTTTATTAAGTATCAGCTGCATACCAGAACCAGTCTAGGTCCTGGCGATTCAAAAGAGCCAAGTCCCCGGTCCTTCCAGACACAGACAATAAACTCACAATATACTATAAAACCGAGGGCTGGTTGGGATAATGTTGATTAGAGAAATAAATCACCGCCACAGTGACACAGCCCAACTGTTATAAGTACTTGGCTCGGGCCCTGTGTCAGGCTTTCTTCCAGCACCTCATCACAAAACGCAAAGCGGGAGGGCTCTTCCAGACACAGTGCTGAGACAGGGCTCTCTGAGAAGGGGGCATTTGAGCAAAGACCCTAATGGAACGGAAGAAGCCACACTGACTTCCGAAGATGGGGTCTCAGGCAAGGAGGCAAATCACCCCTTCCCTCCCCCGCCACATCACCATTTTATCAGCTACATTCTGCTGGTTCTTTTTATTTTATTCTGGTGCTGGGGGTGGGGTGTACTGAGACAAAAAAAAAAGCTGAATAAAACCCTAGCGGATCTCACTTGTATTCACCCCACTCCTGGGCACTGGGCCCCACCTGTGGCCTTGGGAAGGGCGGGGCAGACTGCGTGGGGAGCTGCAGGAGGCACCCCCAGGTGATGAGGCGGGGACAGCTTCTGTGGTCCAGTGTCCCTGAGCATCCCTGGACCCAGGCACTGGCCGGCCTCCTGGGGCTCCCTTAACCCTCCCTTCTAGGTTCCACCCTCCTCTCTCCACCGCTGATCTGGAGAAGGAAACGGCAACCCACTCTGGTATTCCTGCCTGGAGAATTCCACGGACAGAGGAGCCTGGTGGACTACAGTCCAGGGGGTCGCAAAGAGTCAGACAGGACTGAGCAACTTTCCCTCTAGGTTCCACCCTCCCCAACCCTCCCGCGGAGAAACACACCCCTTGGAATTTCAAGGAACAGTCTGGCAAGAGACGCCCTGGCGCTGCGCCTCGGAGGCTTT